CGGTGGAGCACCGCCATGTTCTCAAAACTCCTCAAATGTCGAGACAGGTCAGTGGAGCCGTCGTACCATATGTTCAACTCCCTGAATCCCTTGGGTAAGTCGGCTCTTAGGATTTGCTGCGAGAATGGGTGTTCTTTTGCTCCTATGCTCTTCTTCCCCCCGACTCGAGCCTGCAAGTCACGGACCTGGGCCAACAGCTGTTCCAACGTTTTGTCCCTCGCTTGCGGATTGATAGTTCGAATGGAGGATTCCTCCTCGTCCACCCTTCTGTTCTGATGTACGTTTGACTGGGCTTGTTGTTCGACACGAGGTTGCTGCTCGACTCGAGGCGGGTACTTGACACGGGGCTGCTGCTCGACCCAGGGTGGGTACTCGACTCGAGGCTGCTACTCGACCTGCGCCATCTGCTTCATCTAGGCAGCCACGGCTTCAGCGATCATCTTTTGCATTTCGCTCCTCGTCATCGTCAAGGTCTGCTCCTCGACGCGGGGTTAGGTCTGCTCCAGTACCTCTTGTATCTGTTTTTCCTCGCGTCGAGACAACTCCGTTGGTTCCTTCTCTCCATCTGGGTTAGTGTTTTGACTTGTCCCTGCCTGGGTCAACACTTGCAACTTTACTCCAGTCGGAGTGACGGGAGTTTCTCCGCCCAACGTCAGTTCTGGTTGTAGAGGTCCTCCAAATGGTGGCATCCCCATCATCTGCATCACTGGGTGTTTGGTGGTGGAGAGTGGTGGTGGCCTCTTGTCCATCCACGTCCCCCTGAACTCCTCGTTCAGATTCCTCTGCAAACCTTCCTTCTCCGCCATCAGCAAACAGATCGGAGCTGGGTGTGAAGCTCTTTCTTCCTTCAAGAACTCCCCACAGACGGCGCCAATATGATGGGGTCTACTTCCAGATCTGGAGTAAACCTATGGATTTGAGCTCAGATCTGCTTGAACCGCCCCTGACTCGTTGCTAGACTGTGAGATATCTGCAAAAACTCAACGCCGGAGGTGTTTCCGGTGCACACTCTGATGGTATAACTAGGGCAAACTGGGCCACCACCAGAACTTAGAGAAGGCAAACTTGGCCTTAACCCAAAGTGGATAAAACTCATATACATACCTGAACGTGATATCGACTATTAAACTCAATGTATAACCCAGACTGGGTCCCCACCTGATCGGTTTTGAAAATGAGTAAGTGCGGCTGTGCTGGTAGCTGACTCCTCAAGCTACATAAAAATATAAGCAAACAAATATACTAAGTACTATGCTCGTCATATGCTCAAAAATATGCTAGGATGCTCTACTCTATCAGATTACTCATCCGAATATAGAGGAACGCTCTAAGGGTTCACTAAAAAAAATTCTAAGTCCGGAAATTATACTGATATGCTTAACTGATCAAGTTTGGCTCGGAAAAATACTTAGATTTCGGAATAAGACTCGGACCGAAAATCACGAACCAAAACGGGCTCGAACCGCCGGCTAAACCGGCCGGTTCGCTAACTGGTTGAACCGGGTCGGGATGGACGGGACCGGGTTGGACCACCGGTTCACACTGGACCGGTTGGTCACGGACTGCTCGGACTGGCCGGGCTCGGTCCCGTGCCGGGCCTGCTGAGGCCCGAGGACGCCGAAGGTCGATGGCCGAGACGACCCGAGAAGGCCGAGGAAAGGGCCAAAATCATGTATGCATGGCCTAAGAGACGGGTACGAGCCCGTATACGAGGCGCACGAGCACAAAAGGAACGACACGAGTCGAACCATCGGGGATGTGCAACGGAGATTCGTGATGGCCGCGCGCGAGGAAAACGTGCAATGCGTAGACACGCGATACGCGTGAGCCGCGTAGCAAGGCGCGTGAGGTTACACGTGAAGATGCACATCCATCAACACGAGCGGGTGCGTGAGATGATCCGACGACAGGGACGCGAACACGCACATTGGCGTAGGCATGCATGGTCGAGACCCGGGAAGCCGACAGGGTCGAGCCAGCAAGTACGAGCATGCGGCATGAGGGGTCACAGCCAAATGGGCCGAACAGGAAGGTCGGGTGGTCGACACTCGGATGATCGACACTCGCTAGCTCGAATGGGCCTATCACGTGGTCGACACTCGCTAAGTCGATCGGGCAGCAAGACGGACAGATGGACGGTGCTCGCAGAGTTGAGGACGCGCATGGTCGAGGTCGGAGGAATCGAGGCTAGACTCGTGGTATCGAGCATATCGAGGCATGAGCAGATCGAAGCTAGAAGGGTCGAGCACCACCAAGGTGTGGAACGAGGCTATGCACGGACATCCAATAAGCCTTGTTGGACAAGGATTAGACAACGGGGTCAAGTGCGGCCACGCACGCGCTAAGTCGACAGGAGATGGACTCCTTGAAGGACTAGGCGAAGGCAATGCAGACGAACGCATGGGAGCTTACACATGGACGTGGATGGACCGAGGGACTCGCGTGAGTTGGACTGGCAACGGGCCAAAAGCACCGCGCGAGGAAGCACGTGCAGGCGTACGTGGGCGTGATACGCAAATACACGAGGCTAGCCGTGCGAGTCGAGGAATGAAGATTCTAGAAGATTAATGTTAGATTAATTATTATTTAATTAGTTAGATTGTTAGATATATTAATTACGTGAGTTAGTAGTGTTAGTATATATGTTAATTAGTTAGGCTAGTATATATTAGTTGATTAGAATATTGTTAGGCGTTAGTGTTTAGTTTGGTTAGTAATTGTTAGGTGAATTATTATTTTAGCCGTTAGTATGTTAGGATATTTAGTTAGCGTGAGTTAATAGTTCATTAGTTAGGTATTATTATTTTAGCCGTGGGTTTATTAGATAGGTTAAGAGATTATTTAGTTGGTTAGGTATTTTATATTTTGGTAAGTCTTGATATGCAAGACATTTAGTTACCTTAGGATTAGATATATTTTCCATAGATTAGAATTATAGCTCTAATAGGACTAGATCTAGTTTTTCTTATAAATACCCTATGTACTCATTCGAATTATTCATCATGGAATATTAATACAAAACCCGAACTTTTGTTCAAACAATTTGCCTTAGTTTCTTCTTGATTTCTTTTGCAATTTTATTGTTCACGTGGCTCGCGAGACACCTATCGTGCGATTTAAGGTGCGGGAGCGGCTTGTCGACAGTCGGAACACACGATCTTCATCATTGGTGCTTTCATTGAGAGGTGTTAGATCGTGTGTGTTTTTTCTTTCCCCATTCTTTTTTTATTTATTTTATCTACGTTTATATCAAAAAAAAAAAGTTATATATATATATATATATAGGGTCGCGCTCCGGTGAGAATGACTCTTAATGCGAGAAATAAGAATAAATCGTAACCATTAAATTAGATGATCTAATGGATAAAAAAAGTCACAATTATACTTTCTTTAAGGGTAATGTAGTAATTTTCACATACAAATAGTGGGACCCAAAAAACACCAACTCTCCCCACACCCACGTGGGTCAAACCCACTCACCTCACCAATCTCTCTCTCTCTCACACACACTCTAATCTGTACAGACACACATTGAACACGACTCACACACACACACACGCAGGCTGGGTCTCAGTCGCCACCGCCGGCCACCGGTCCCCCACCATCCGCAGCCGGTCACTGCCTCCCGCCGCCTCTAGCACCTTCCTCCACCTTGGATCCCACGATCGTCTTCTTCTACTGGGCATCATCTACTCCGTCGACGTCGATTTCCTCGGAATCTGTTGGATGAAAGTCGGAATATGACCACGCAAATCTCGCCGGAGTCAAAACCTCGACTCCGAGACTCGGCATTCTGGCGGGAAAATAGACTTGGATGCTTCGTCGGCGAGCAGAAGAACGTCATCTCCGGAGGGAGCGGATGACTAAACCGCCGGAAAATTGGCCGGCGAGGTTGATGAGAACGGACTGTGCAATGTACTTGTTTTTTGAGAATTAGATATTATTCAGGGACTTGGTTGCAATTTCAAAATTTTTGATAAATGTTAATTTAGTCCCTAGGCCAAATGTGTAATTTTGAAAACTTTATGAAACATAGGGTGCAGAATATCAACTAGCATCGATGCTTTCAAAAATGTGGTGACTGGTGACAGAGGAGTAGAAAAGTTCAAATTGGAAAATTGGTAGTAGTTTTTTTTTTCCAACCGTACATGTATAAATGCGTGTGTTTAATTGGGCTGTACCCATGGTTTGCTTTTTCAATTTTGTTTTTTTTTTGGTCATATAAAGCTAATGCCCATCATTGCTTTTTCAATTTTTTTTTCTTTTTTTTTTGACATATAAAGCTAATTTGCCCATCAAACTATGTAAGGTCGAGATGCAAGAACAAGATCCTTGATGAAAAGGTTATTGTAATAAAAAAATATTGAGTTAATAAATAAAAATTATATCCTATAAATAATAAATTATTTTGATTTTTTAGGTTAATTCAGTTAATCAACTATATAAACTAATTATTTCATTTCTGATTTAATTTTAATTTGCATATAAAAAAAATCATAATGCAAATGCACCATGTCGTTAATCAAGATGCACATCAGTGAATATCACATTGCACAGTACTATTATACATTAGGACCATTATTTGCAACTTCTTAAAATAATATAAAAATAAATTACGATAATAAATAAATTATATGATAAAATGATATATTTTATTTAGGTTATTTCAAAGTACAATTATATATATTAAAACTAGTTTTCGAATACACATAATTTAGGGTAGGGTTCACATGAGAATGGTGCTTAGCGCGAGAAATCGCAGCCGTTCGATCGGATAATTCAACAGCTAAAAAAAAGCCAAACATCTATACTCATTAAGGATAAATTGGACATTTTCCAATTACAACCACAGTGGGCCACCCCCAATTAGACCCACTCACCCGCATCTATCTCTCTCTCTCTCTCTCTCACACACACACAGTGAAGACGCACACACATTTAGACACGGCGGAGCACCGCCGCGGACCCTTCACCGGCGCCATATATACTTCCTCAGCTACATGGCCGTCCCGGGGCCGAGATTGTCGGCGACTCTGACCGAAGGAAGACCGCCGTACGATGCCGCCTATCATCACCATAGCGCCGCCCGTCTGAAACTCCGACCAGCTCCGCACTTTCGAAATTCAGATCGAACCTCCCCAGCTCCGCCATCCGCCCACCCGTCGTCGTTCAAAATTTCAACCGCCTTCTCCCAGCCGCACCTCCGCCCATCTCCGTCCATTCGAAGAATCAGCCGCACCTTCGCCATTCAAAGGTTCAGCAGCACCTCCGTCCGTTCAAAGGTACGGTCGCCACCTCCACCCGTTCAGACTGCCACAATTGACGGCGTTCAGCCGCTAGTTCGCCGTCCATTGACATAACATCTGAACTCCCGATCGAATTTTTTCTCTTGTCTTTTTCTATCTCCAATTTATCTATTTTCTTTAGTTCATCACTAGACCAATTATGCCATCGAGGAGGCAACCTCTGGTAAAGAAAAGAGAAAACGAAGTGCTGTGAAGCCGTGGTCAATTCCACTGTCCAGGATATTTTCGAAGCGCCGGTAAAATCAATTAGGATTGTGGGGTTTTATTTTGAGAATTTGATAACTTTTAGGGACTTAATTATAATTTAAAAATTTTGATAAAATTTTAGGGACTTAATAATACAAAATAATATAAAATATTAAATAGAATTATTATAATATTAAATAATTAAAATAATAATAAAAAATATTACAATAATAAATATACTCTTATAATAATAACTAATAAATTATTTCAAGTATTTAGTTTAGTTTGATGTACAATTATATCTACTAAACCTAGTTTTAAAAAAAACATACTTTATATGTGCTCATATAAAGAATTACACTTTATATATCAATATGTTGCACTTTATAAAACATTACATTGCAATTTATAGAACAACACGTTGTACTTTATCACATTCCAAAATTACAGTAGTACACTTTATACATCAACATGTTGCACTTTATAAAACAACACGTTGCACTTTAGAAAACAACATGTTGCACTTTATAAACATTGCAATTTATAGAATAACACGTTGCACTTTATCAACACGTTCCAAAATTACAGTAGTACACTCTATACATCAACATGTTGCACTTTATAAAACAACACGTTACACTTTATAAAACAACATGTTGCACTTTATCATGACTACGAGATTGCACGATAAACGTCGAAACCGGCCGAAATAAAATCCAAATAATTATGGTCATTTTCAATTTGATTTGGTACAAAAGTTCGGTTGGTTCAATCTGCATAATACAGACCGACACAGTGCACCACAGTGATGTACGAATTGCACCTTAATAATTGTTATATTGCACCGTATATTTCGTTTACATATATACAATTTTTTTAATTAAAAATAATATAAAATGTAAAAAAAATAATATTAAATACTAATCATGTTCTTTTATAATAAATAATATAATATTATTTCAGTTATTTCTATTATTTATGTTAACCGAAAAAATAAACCGAATATGTTGAAACCAAAATTTTCCTTTTGAATTTTTAAAATTTTGGTTCGATTATCATTCTTTACATTAAAAAACTCGATTACGTCCGTTCGTTTTCGACGTTTTCTTTGATTTTATTTAGATAACAAAAAAAACTCTATTATTATTATTATTATTATTATTATTACTATTATTATTATTATTGTTATTATTATGTAAAAATATTATATTTTCAGCCTTTGATTTTTAATAAATTGTAAATGTGTAATAAACAAAATATTGTGAATTGGACTAAGTAAATTCTTAGAATATTATTGGGCACATAACGCATACATGAGTCTATTTAATTTTGGGCTTTCATATGTACTCAAAATCAGGAAGTGAACATGGGCCACATACAGGTATGACTTTTTGTATTAGCCACATCCAAAACATTCCTAAATTGCATAAAGGTCCTTTTGACATATCTAATTTTCAAACATAAGTCCCTAGCCCTAAAAGCTTCGTCCGTCACTGTCACTCGCCTTTCATCAGTGCCCGATCTCTTCTGGCGGCTCCTCTCTGTGAAGGTCATGTTGGAAATCGACCGCCGGCTCTCCTCCGCTTGGTTCTCCGGCGAGAATGGCGACATACTTGCGGCGGCTGGGCTGAGCTACTCATCACTCTAGCGGCCATCTCGGCGGCGTCCGAAGCGGCGGCTTGTGGCGTATTTCGCTGGCCCTAAGCAGAGATATATGGTCTGGACATTTCTCCGGTTAATTCTCGCCGGAGTTTCAGAAAATCCTCCTTGGCCGGCGAGTCTCCGACGAGATGGAGGGACGAATAATACTACAGACGGCGGCGGGAATCTTGAGTTGGCGGGCGGCGGGGTGGCGGACGGTTAATGGATCCCGACTGCAAAGTGTGTGTGTGTGTGAGTGTGTGTAGTGCGTGTGTTCGTCAAAATATTTCAGAACGTGAGAGAGATAGAGGAAAGAGAAAACAAGGGTGAGGAGAGAGAGATTGAGGAAAGAGAAAAGTGGTGTGAAGTAATTTGGTGAGTGGGTCCCACCTGATATTTATATTTACTAACTTATCCTTATTATTGGTTAAATACATATAATTGACCATAACATGATAAATAATTACTAAATTGCCATTAATGATTGACCCTGATTTGACTTCATCTTAACCATTGATATGTTGGATTCAATGATCCAGATCCATTCTCATTTCTTGCATTAAGAGTCATTCTTATATGATCCTTTCTATATATATATATATATATATATATAGGGTCGCGCTCACATGAGAATGGTGCTTAATGCGAGAAAATGAGAATAAATTTTAGCCATCAGATGGGATGATCTAATGACTAATAAAAAAGTCAAATCTATACTTTCATTAAGGATATTTTAGTCATTATATTACACATTACCATTCACATGCCACATCAACCCCATATACCTAATACACACACATGACACAACACACGCACACACACCTATAACACAGGCACACACACGTTCAGCACACACGCACACACAAATAAAACACACGCACACACACTACTCTCACACACGCGCACAGATTCCAGATCGCCGGCCCTTCAAACTCCCGCCGGCTCTCACACACACACACACGCACAGATTGCACACCGCCGGTCGCGGCCTTCAAACATCCGCCGGCGACCTCCACCAACCTCCAACCATCTGCAGATCGCCGCCATCGGCGACGGCGAGAACGTCGGAGAATGGAAGCTCTGCCATGAAATCCGCCACCGGCCATTGTCCACTGACCAACAGAGAACTATCCGTTTGTCCGACGTCGCGGCGGCGGCGTTCCCAACGTCATCGACTGCGGAAGGGGGGGGGGGGGG